GACAACATGCTCAATAATACTTAAGTATTCTGAATTTCTAAGAATTGCTGTACCATTTCGATATAACACTGGATCTCTAAAAAAGTCTTTCGCAACGTTTTTGAATATCAATTAAACATATTCTTTTAGTATTTTGCCATTGTTCAGATGAAACATTTATCTTTAATCAGCTGCATAAACTACGAAAGCTGCAGAGTGAATTTCGCTGAAATGATTTTTATTGCCTCTGATCTAACCATTTACTGACTTGAACTTAAATACTAACGTAAATTCAATGTAAAATGAACTTGTTGTAAGATATATGTTATAACTATGTTACATGCTTAAATGTGATTATAGCGATTACAATCGATGTTTTTTTTGTTTGTTTTAAACGATGTCTAAAAAGTTAATTCCATACAGGTTCTTTGAAATGGTATATGACTTGGATCGCTCTTCAAAGACACGTTTTGCTAGAGAACAATAACTAATGAATCGTGCCATTATAACCAAGGCTGATTGCGGCAAGTCACGCTAGTTGTAAAAAATAATGCACTTTGTTAAAGGACACCTTTAACAACTCACCATATATAATAAGAAAAGACGTAAATACAGCTAATAACTTTTGGAATTCATAGATATTTTAAAATGTTTTTTCTGCGTCCTGAGTGTTATAATCCCGATTTGGGTTGGGCCAAGTTCTTCACACCCATGGATGGGATGGGGCCAGTTCAGTTCAGCTCCTCGTTAACCTTGAATGTGACCGCGGGACAAATGACGTCACAATCACATTCTTGCGGAGGGCGCATCAAACAAGTGCCGCTGTGCCGTGTAGTGACCTCGGTTCGGTCACAAGACGTTCACCATCGGGTCCCTTTAAAAAGTGAAAGCATTCGGTGCGTGTCACAATTTCATAGTTTGCACGATTCACACTTGCAATACTCAACCATAAACATTTTGTTAATCACAAAAATGTTTATGTATATTTCAAAAAATTCTTTTTCACTTTCTTACATTCACTTTTCAGTTGATTTGACAACCGTTTCAATTTCAATCGTGACCTTTTTCGTATATATCGTAAAAAAGGGAAAAGGTGTTTGGTGTAACAACGCTCAAGAGATATCGGGGTAGGAAGAGATCTCGTATATAAAGCTGAAATGCCCCTTGGGAGTGGATATTTGCCGAATTTCCAAGCTCGGGTTCTTTGGTTGTGTCGATTCGTTTTGGTGTTATGTTCCATTCGCCATTTATTTTAGCGCGGTAGGAAAAACTCGACCGGTTCAAGTCGGGGTTCAAGTCAGTCATCATGCAAATAAACATGATTTCCGTCTCCGCCCTTCCATTTAAAATTCAATCTCCACTAAAGAGGAAACCTCGCTTCAGTAAATAGAACATCCGCACTTTCTTTGAATATTCAAGGTTTTCTTAATACTCTCTTTATTAAATAAAAATTTTCAGAATTAAAATTGCATGTATTGTTAAGTAGGTTAATTTATTCATAGAGAAGATGAATACAAAGTGAAATTTAAAATGAATTGTCTTTGCGTAAACTTACGTTCTATGAATCTTCCTTTCTTTAAGCCAATATGCATAATAAGCAGAAAAGTAACAGGATATCTCTTGGCATAAATTAACAAAGGAAGTCTTAAACGACAAAGTCGTTTGAAATCATCTTCGTTAAAATACATCCTATTTTAAATTACAAACGACGAATTTATATTTAATACGTCGCGTATTATTTAAATGTTTTAAGAGAATTTATGATGTTTGGACCAGATGTAAACTTAGTTTTAGTACTTAAAGAACATGATGTTGTAGAGATGCAGTCAACTTGATAAAACGATATCTATTACATAAAATATAATTACGTGCGGGGGAACTCTTGCTTATTTGACCTAGTTATATATAAGGGCGTATAAATTTTGAACAATGCTGCCAAAATGATGATGAGTTGAGTTGGACCGAGCTCGTTCCAAAATTTACGTAGATTAATGCATTTAATTAACTTTTGGACCAAAAATTAGACTACAACATAAAGATATTAAATTAATTTATCCACACCATTGCGTTCTCTGTCAGTTATTTCTACTTTTAGTTCAATAAAAATATACAACAATATAGCGCTGAATAACAATTAAACTTAGAGCCAATACTAGCACTAGAACTAACACTAGCGACTTTAGCCGTCTTAAGAGACATACGGCACAACCCGAATGTTTCTAGTTCTAGGTCTAGTGTTAGTTCTACTTTTAGTTCAATAAAAATATACAACAATCTAGCACTGAATAACAATTAAAGCTAGAATTACCATCCTTGATTTATACATCGTATAAACCACTCGGGGAATAACCCGATTTGGATTCTATCTTTGAGTGCTAACATTTATATTTAAATATACGTTTTACTAGTGTGTAATATCGTTTAGTTATTCATAGGCCAGTTAAATGCTGCGCCGTTTCAAATAACCTCGTCGAAACGATCCCAGACAATTTACGTTTGAAAATCAAAGGGAGTTCTCGGACAAGGACAATGGCATTGCAATTCCAAAAGTTCTGTCTGGCAGGGTGATGAGAACGTGCCGGAATTCATTTCGGAACGACATTCGTTTCGCTCAAATCGATTTCCTTGGAAAGGAGGGGGCATATGTTGAGAAGAGGAAATCACTGATTTGGAAATAAAATAGACCGAAATGCTGCACCAACCGGATGTGTTTCGGTCGATTAAAAAAAGGGTTGTTCTTTTTTGTGGTAGCTTTGCTATTGATGTATTTTTAAACTAGCTTTTCTTTGCATGTAGGACTTTTTTTATCAGTTTTGTTTATTAATTAACTCTGTGAAGTAGAAATTTTCATTCAATGCACCATACCTTTACGGGAATGAAAAGATACTTCAAAGGGAAAAGTAGCTTGTGTCTTCAGGGGATTATTTTGTATAGAGCATGCGTTTATCATGCATGACACGCGAGACTGCCACAAACATTGTTTTTGCTTTGGAACTACGAAGCTACGTTTTAATAAAATTAATTGCACCGAATTAACTAGTGCGTGTCTAACATTACTAAAACTTTTTGGGAGTTTTACTAAACATCATAAATAATTACAGAAAGTATCTTTTATCGTCAATATTTTTTATCTGGGTAATTGGGTGTCGCCTTAATACGAAAACACGCAGACGGACGACAGACAGGACAATTACTCGACAGATGACGGCTTAGCAAAAAGCTTCCCTCCTCTACTCCAAGTAGTTACCAAGGAAACGCCCGTATTCGTTTGCTAGGCAACCACCGAGACGACTAGATCAGGAAAGAAACTGCCCATTTTAGTTCCTTTATTTCTTCGTTCCCTTTTTTGTTCTTCGTAAATGTATATAATTGAATTGTTCTGGTTTATATCCGCATGTAGCTTGATTTAGCTGACTTTCATCTCGGTGTGATGTTACAATTAATGTTGTAATTTGCCCTCATTAATTAACGAATATTAGCAAACACTTGAATTACTATTAATTAATATTGAATATCCCTTTACATTATTATTTTCAATAAATACGAAATTGTTGCATTAGCTTTAGGTTACATTGGATACTGCAGTATAATCAAACTACTACACAATATACAGTACAGGTAGGGATTTCAATAATTTAAGTTTTAACATTTTTTGATACTCTTATGTGATTAGAATTTAAGAATTATGTTCTATTTGCTTCGAAGCCTTTCTGGTTAAGAATATCATCTAGATATTCTAGGTCAAGAACGATATCAATTGAATGCGAAATATGGAATTTTATAAATGTGGATGATGATTAAAGAATCTGCGGAGATCAAAATAATGATATTTTGAAGAACCAGAAATACAAAATCTTATAGTAACAAAACTGAAACAAAAACCTTTTTTTAAGTAGGATTTCAGATTGGAGATGGATGTCTTTATTTCGTATTGGTTATCATTGCTTTGTGCATCCCGAAACGGGATATCCTGTATCGTCCAAAGTTCTCTTGACCTAATCGATTCGAAGGGAATTGTTGCGGTATGCTCATTGAATTCCTTACTTAAACAGCGTGTACTGAACAAAGGGCGGAAACCGCAAGAGCGCTGACCGATTCCCATACATCAATATACAGAAAGTGAGTGCTATGTACGCCCTCCCAGAATGCGGCTCGAGCAATCGAATCGAACGTCATTAGCAGATGAATGGAACCGAAGAGAAATAAATCATGTTGTACAAGGTTGAGCAAAACTATTTAAAGATATTATAACCTGATTTATCTTGTATTTGGTTATTGTGAAATTGTTGAATAAAACTTTTGAAACAATTTAATCGTTCTTTTTAAAAGTTGTTATTAGAAACTAAAATGTTTTATCTACTTATGAGAATTTTACGTAAATATTTAAAATTTTTGAGTAATACTGTACAAAAGTACAACTGCGGATTCTATGCGGTGGTTCGCTAAGCTAAGGTCATTCGTCTTCGCCTGCTATTTGTCCACAGATAATGCCGATGTCAACGGTTATGTATTTTTAATATACTGGCTCGCATTGCGGTGGCCTCTGCACTCGGCAAGAACAAAGTTGAATACCCTATCGATCGTCTTCCTGGCATATTATAATTCTACATAATATTTCACCTTCACGTTCATTTAAATTCTATTGGCATTAAAACCATTTCTTCCTCAAAATTTTTAATATTTTGTTTTTTATAAATGGTAAAAAATCCAGCTAAAGGGGAAACAACATATTAAAAATGCAAAAGATAAGGGTGCGGCGAATTGCAATTTTCCCTTCTAACCAGGAACCCTCGAAGTTGCCAACGTTGGCAAACTGGCAGAAGAGAAGCTCGTAAAAAATTAAAGAGAACAGATAAAACGACCGGTTTTCCATTTAACTTTGATCATACGAAATGTACCTTTCCCCACTAACTAAAAAAAAATCCTCTTGATTTTCCACCTCACTTTTCTCGATTAGTAGGCGATTGTCCTTACTTTACGGTTCGTTTAATATTTTTTTTCACAAATTTATTTTGTTTCAGCCAAAAAACAGAATGGAGCCGCATTCAGAACAAATAGCTTGGGCAGCGGTACCAGGACGCCACCACTTGAACGCAAAAGTAAACTGGCAGCTTTCGGAAAATTTTTTAAACCTTGGAAATGGAAGAGGAAAAAGAAGTCTGATAAACTCGAAGCTGTATCCCGCAGTAAGTCCTAACAGTAAATTCATTTATTTTTTTGATTAATAATCAAGTTAATGGAAATGTTAATTAAATTTGAACTTGGTTGTTGCACGATGACAATTATCGTTTACCGTTATAGTCGTAAATTTCGATTAACTGCTCTAAAATTTGCTGGTGCTCACAGAATTGAACCGGCGGTGGTGAAATTATTTCGAAACACTGTTGCTTCCAATTCAGGTTCAGGTGCACTATAAAAGTGATTTATATTTTCCGATATATCACGATTTTAACTTAATTTAAAATATTTTAAGTTCAATAAATATGTCAATTTTTATGATTTTTTTTAAATACAGTAAAACCTCGGTATACCTGATTAATAACACAAATTCGAACAGGTATCCACACCGTTGCGTGCACATTAGTGTTTAACTAAACCAGAAACTTTCTGGTTCTAGGTCTAGTGTTAGTTCAATGAGAAATACTAACAGACCCATGGTAGCCCACGGAGCCATACTTTAGTGCTCAGCACTAAAACATGTATATAACATACACTAATTGATCAAAGAAGGCTCATGTGATCATCGACTCCAAAAAAGTTAGCAGAAACGTTGAAATCTGCATTTATAGCATGCTAGCGCTTAGTAGGCATCGAACTACATCGTCGTTAGTGAAGTCCTGTCTGCAATCACTTGAGGAGACTAATGTTTACAACAACTTCACGATAAAGTGACGGAAAGAACATACCGGAAATAAGGGACAGGATGGCGAAATGGGCGGCTAAGAACAGTTTGTACCACAAACTTTTAATATAGCATAAAAACTGTTCAACTCCATCTTTCCTCAATCTTTTTTGCGATAGACTAGATGAGACTGCAGTAGGTGTCTTTGCAAAGAAAACTCTGCTCTGCAGGGACAACGACTGGAGGTGGTAGAAAACTACTAATATCTTGGAACCATAATAAGTAAGGATGGAAAGATCTACTATCAAATGAACAACACCCTCGTAAGCAAGAAGGAACTGATCTCTAAAGCAAAAATACAATTATGTAAAACCATCTATATACCCACACTTAATTATGAATCAGAAACTTGGACGATGTTGGACTAGCACAAATTGAAAATAACAGCAGCAGAGATGAAGTACTTACGCAAGATATTGGGAAAAACCAGAAGAGATAGGGTACGGAACAAAAATATTAGAGAAGAACTAAGCTTAAGAGTTCTAGGTTTAGTGTTAATACTAGTTTTAGTTGTTATTCATTGCTAGATTATTGCATATTTTCCATTGAACTAAACCTAGAACTAACACAAGACCTAGAACTAGAAACATTCGGGTTTAGCCCTGGGGTTTTACTGTATTATCTTAAAAATTATTAAAAATTGTTAAAAATTATATTAAATCGTTAACGAGATTTTCGATTAGGTTTATTAACAGGTACCGTAATATCACCAAATAATAATCAAGTTAAAAAGTAATTAGCGTTGCCATGAATGAAATCCAACAGTATGATTAAAATATTATGTAAATTTCGAAAAATTTAATCTACCGATCGTAAGAATATTAATAATAGATTAATGTGATCTAGGTCCATAAAACGTACTTAAAATGTATGGAGTAAAAATGTTTTTCCAATGACCGAATTTTAATTGGCCTTGGAAATGAAGCAAAATTGCAACTAGAAGAGAGGCTTCATCTCAATTTCCTTAGCGATTAATTTTTCAGTCAGCGCAAAATTAAAATTCCGCCCTCGGGACTAGGAAATGACGAAAAAAGTAAATTTTCATAACGGCTCCTTTATTTACAATTTCCGATGGAACCGGAAATCATTTAGATTCATTGTTTATTGAGATAAATCAGTAATTTTATAATTGCAAATAACACAAGCGTTTTTCGATATCAATTTATAATTAAATACGTAATACCTTTTGTTAAATATTGATTTAGCTCCATCATTAATTTGTTACATAAAATTAATCGAAACGCCACTGACATAACAATCTTTTCATTACAATATACTATTAAATAAATTGTCAAAGTAACAAATCCGTTTTTAATGATTTATAACAATTTGCTTTAATTCAATATCCGAATGGATCGTCCAGCCGCTTTGATATTATACAACATGGCCATAAACACATCTTCCAACTCAATTTACAATACTCTGAAGATGTATGGGAATATACATCACATTTCGTTGATCAAAAATTCTCAAGAAAACTCGACAACGGCTTTTATCACTTTTGGCGACGAACTCGACGCCTTTTTGGCTCAAGCGAACGTTATTCAAGGAAGATTCTTTGGCGAAGCGGTAACTACGGAATTGGTAACTGTTAAGTATGTTGCGGAGTTGGATGATATACTTCAACGAAGGATGTGTGCTTGTTATGAAGTTGGCGGATTGGACAGTTGAAATTATTAAGATTACAATTTTAAAATTAAACGGTTTCTATTTTAATAGTTACTTATGCAATTGAATAAATATAAGTGTGAAAATAACAGTAAACAAATAAATTGCAAATAATTTTCGGGGAATAGATGAGAGTTAACCACTTAATATCACATTTAATTCAATTACTGGTTTATCAAAAGCCTTGCACGCAACCATTACTATCACAATTGAGTTCAATTTACCACTCTTCGACTGTGTGCTCGTTCACATGGCAATAAAGTCGTTATAACGTTCCCCACCTTAACTAATATAAAATAAACTTCGTTATATAATTTACTATAGGCCCTAGAGGTATGTGATGAAGTAATCATGAGAACAATGGTTGTATAGATGATGTTGTAGTAAGAAATGATGATCATTAAATTTTAGTGGCTAATTAAAATTAATAATTAGAAACAATTTTTATTTTAATATTATTATTATTTTTTTTTTTTTCAGTGAAGATAATATATTTAATTTTTAGTTTTAGCAATAAATCCTGCCAAAATAGATTGATGAAGATCGCGATACAAAATAATTGTATCGAAATCCTAATACGACTCTTTCTTTTCCAGCATTAGAGCGAAAGATATCTGTGCGAGCAAACAGGGACGAACTGGTTCAAAAAGGTATTCTTCTACCAGAAAGTCCCCTGACCCCGCCTATTTCCGAGCCAGGTTTGTTCAACACTCATTAAATAAGTAGCGAAAACCACCCGCCCCCTCTAAAATTAATTTTTGTTGTTTGTTTATTTACTAACTACCCTCGTGTCACTGTATTTACAATGCTAACGCTCACTCCTATTCCTGTTGATGGTTCTTTGGGTGGATATTGATTTTTGGTGAAGGCGCCTCTAAACGGTTAGCTTGGCGCCATCTATCGCAACGCGTTCGAAGTAGCTCCTTGCTAACGAATGTAGGTATTGAGACCTACCGACAGATGGCGACACTACTCCGGATCCTTCCTGCTGGGTAGCCTTTTTTATAGATCAATGACGCTGAAGGTTTTATGTTGGGCTATATGTAGATTTCTTTATGACGAGATATTTTTTGTCTAATGGTTTCTAATTTATTCCTTTCCTGTTTCATGTTTGGGTTTTTGTAAGATTAAGATTTATGTTTTTCTATTGGAAATCATTTTGCATCTTGATGTAGATTTACTACTAATTGTTATTATTCGAATTTGAAACTTAACACGTATATTGGTGATGGTTAACCTTTAGATTTAAATGTAAAAATTAACACTTGTTAGATTTAGATTATGATTGTGCCAATCAGCATACAATGTATAATATCATAAAATATTAATAAAATATTTGTGTGTACTTGCATTGTATGTGTATTTTGGTTAATTACAGATGACACAATCTGTGCTTTTTCTTTTAGAAATTTTGTAAGATAATGCTAGTTATTTTTCCAGGTGAAACCGTTCCAAGTCATTTCCCTCCAGAAATCGTTCAGCAAACGCAAACATCGCCTCAACCGTCGCCTCAGTGTCCTCCGCCCGTTTATCATCCCAACATGTCGCCCTTCCCGGGTTTTCAACCCAACTTGCTCCAGCAACAGCTGCTGCAGAATCCGCAATTCGCTCAGGCGAATGCAAACAATAATATTGGTGAGTCATTTCATACAATTTACATATTACATATTCTACCAGCGCGAACACATCTTAATAACGACCGTTACTACATATTACTATACATCTTATATCATGAATTGCGAATTCTAATTTATGTAGACTTTTAATATTGCAATATTATATGTGTAATATTTTTCTATACGTCGACCGTATAATCAAAATCTATGTATTGTGTATCTTTCACCATGCCAGATAATATGATAACGATTGCTTAGGTAGCATTTTTAATTCAAAATTCTTTTTAGATTCAAGTTGACCACGAAATCACAGTTACACGTTTAAATACTTACAAAATTAGTCAAAAAAGAATAATAACCTAATACCTAATCGAGGGTTTAGAGTCATAAGAACATAACTACATATTTTTATGAAAATCACTTACGAGTATTTAATTATAATTATAATGCACAAAATCATGAGAAAGTAGCTTCAATCTATTCCTCTACAAAATACCCAGTTTTAAGCTAAAAATTACCATTGAATTCGTCCTTGCATTAGTAATAATACCTATTAGTAGTTGGAATATTCGCGTTTTTTCCTTCCCCAAGTCAGTACCAAAATCAAAAAAACGATCAACAAATGTAAAAAGATTATTGCCAATAATTGCAGATGGAGCTGAGAACTTTGAATATTATTATGAACTCATAGCTAACTTGATAAATAGTTTGCAAATAAAATTGCTGTAAAGTGGAGGTTACAACAATACCCTAATAATTACAACAATGAAGGTTATGGTGAATAAGCAAAAGAATTAAAGAGAAGACGATACAAGATTACTAAATTAATACAATAATTAATAATTGGCAAAACTTATATTTTTCCAAAGTACAAGATAATATTGTGCAAAAATATCAAGGTGTGTTAGATCCAAATGAAAATACCTAAAAGCACACCAAACGGTGACAAACCAAAAGATGCTTCCTAAATAAACCTAAAAATACGTTTATTGCGGTGAAGTCCGCTCAGATAACTTCTGTGGGTCTATTGTAGCAAAATATCTTCAGAAAAGAAGAAATAAGATAACGAAAAAAGCCAAGCTTGAGAATCACACTCAAGTAGTGATTATATGAAGGAATATAAAGTGTACTATACCATCTGCTCATATAATGCAGCTAAAGATAGAGTTTATAATGACACCCAATCTACATTTCCAAGAAAAAATACAAAATTTTGAGCTAGAAAAATTTGAGATAGAAAAATAGCAGTAGCCATGCATAACCATGACAACCAATTGTTTCAGAAATCAATAATTAATCATTGTCTTTAATAAAATAACTGCAAAAATTGGTTGCCATGGTTACGAATGGGTACAGCTATTTTTCTATCTCAATTGAATGGTAATTTATGGGAAACTTTTGGGAAACACTGTATTTTAAACAGCAGAAATATAAGTTACCCATGCCTTCTACCCATAACTATCTGTCTAAAATACTATCAACTGGAAAGCCAACATACTGCAGTATGGTCCATAATAAGAGACATCATTTTAACTACTTTTAAAGAACTTCTACAAGTTTCAATAGAAGTTAGAACAACTTCCATGTAATGAGATTATTAAGGTGACTAATCTTATAAGTACATGTTTCAGTTTAAAGTATGTCCCGGAGGTTTGTAAAGAGGCTAAGATGATACTCATACCTAAGCTAGAAAGACCTTCCATGACGATACATCGTATAAGTCGTATAATAGAAGATAAGGACCTTATACGTACCCCCTATAAATTTAGCGTTAGAGAAAAACGTCCGGCGGTCGAACAAGTACAAAGATTGTAGACATAATGGAAAAGACCCGATAAGAAAAAAAGTCTGATTCATCGGTTTTTTTAATGTTTAACTATATACTGAAAATTTTGTTACCACGGCATAAAGAAGTTTTAAAATCCTACCTGTTAGAAAGAGATTTTGGTACAAAGCAAGAAAATGCATACACTGATTTGAGAGATGTAAAGACAAGAATATCTAAGAGTATTGTGTCGTCATATTTCTAAACATGAAAGTGTTACTATCGATCTATGAAAGTGATAACGATTTTGCCAACATGAAAACCTCGAGTCTATCCGAGCTCCTTGACAATTTAAAGTTAATAGGAATTCCCAAGAGAACCAAACTTTTTCAGCTGGTTAAGTAAAAATACTACTGAAATATATCAGCAAACTATATCATACTGGTTTTCTCGTTGTGGTACCTGGGTTACCATTGATTATGAATAGTTTTACCTCCCGTTTTGATTTAAAGAATTAGTATAAAATTAGCAATTATAAAACAATATACACATTAGTAATCAACCTAATATTTTGATCGATAAAGATTATAACTTAGATTATTAAAAATTTCTAAAATAAATAAAGCAAACGCCCTGTATATTCTTAAACATTTGAAAGTACATTATAAATTCCTATCATATAGACACTGTCTATTCACATACTTCCTATTAGTTACCGTATGAAAGCGTGGGCGTGTTCATTAAACTTTGATTTGCATTCATAAAATGCAACCTAGGATTCATTACGAGGATGTTCATTAAAGTGGTTTATAGCCAGCCTCTGCAGATTCGTCCGAAAACATGGTGGACGTCATATGACTTACCCAATAAATAATAGTAATACACGGTCGCAGCGCAAATATTTCACAAAATCCCATTGAATTAGCACCACATCGTTTTGTTGACCTACTTTTTCTTATTCGTGCATTTTCCCACATTATAATTTACTACCCTCAAACTTTAAACTATAAATTAACAAATATTGTTGTCCTCTTTGCCAACAAGAAACGATTTTTGTATTAATCGTTTTTTGTAACTAACCAAATTCTACATGATAGATGGTTTCTTCATCATCGCATTTAATAGTTTTATAATTTTTGTCATTGCAAAATTTAATTTTCTTCGTCAATATCAACCTATCGGGATTCCAATAAGTCACGTTAGATTACTTTCTAAAAGACAATGCCTCACTTTTCGATAGGAACCGCCGATTAAAATTCCTGACCTGGTCGATGAAGCGCGCCGGATATGTCCTCGTAGCGCCTCTACTTCCGGTTACTTATTCCGGCTTTGCACCGTTATAAGCACGCACACGCCGTAAATTTTCACGTTGTAATCAATATGGTGCATCTATATCACGCATAGCCTGTCTTTTCTCTGCGATACTGCTTGAATATTTATGGAAAATATTGTCTTAAAATGTCTTATACGTCGTTATCAACAATCTTTAGTATCATTACATTTTCTGCTTTGTTATGTGCAATGTGTTTCTTTTTTGCTTCTTACTCAGACTGAGTATGTAACCCAAACAGAATATGTTAGGCAGATTTGAAAATAAGATGTCTAGGCATTCATTGTTTTTGATATTAAAAGTTGGTTGGCATAATGATTTCGAGATCAACGTTCTCTTGAGTAGTTCTTTGCCAAGGTTTTGTTGTTACTTGTTTAGTTGACATAACCGCACTTGAGGAGAATGCTTCGCGCTCAGGTGACGTCTCTTCCTCCCTCCCGGGAACTCAGTGTAGGTCAGTTCGTTCGTCCCGGGTGGGGGTAAGGGGTGCGAGCCGGCGTCGGCAACCGTTCTCCATTCGGCCGCCAGACGTCGCGTCGTCGAACCCGGAGTTTCGCGGATTCCTCCGCCACCACCAGGTCTAAGTGACGGTCGGTCGGTCAGGCCAGGCCATTGCGTATGTTGAGATCGGTGTGTACGTGATGTGCGGTTGACAAAAAAAAATTCAATAAAATAATAGGAGACTTGAAGGGTCCGAACGAATGGGTTTATCATCTACTTCCATTTAAACCTCGTTGATCGTTCGATACCAACCACTGGCGGGATACCATTTCCCGTCGCACATCAATGATGGGATACATTATGGGCTGCACTTGCTTCAAAGGTATGACCACGCTCTTAAGCACTTTTTGCTTTTTTTCATTCATTATTTCTTTAATTTTTTTGGTTGATGTCATCAAAATTTGGGAGACATATCGCGGTTTTTTTTGAATTTTAATTTAGTAAGGGCTTTTTTTATGATTCAGATTATGTTCTGCCAGTGGTCGAGGACTCCTGGATTCGATGCACACAGCTCGGTTTTGTTTGTTTTGACGGTATGCGTTTTATTATTTTAATTTATAAACCCGCTTTTTTCATTTTACCACAGCTCATTCTTTGTTCCTCTTTGAAAAGTCCACACAATTTATTTGCATAAATCGATCCCTTTTACCTTATTTCTTGGGCTCCGTTTTAAACCTACTCCGCAAGAACAATAACTAACTTGACGTACACCGTGTTGTATTGATTTAAAATTTCTTCAAGCTCACCTTGTACAAAGTGCACTCAGGTGGTTTAATCATGAACGAGACTGGTAATGGTCGTAATCGATAATAATTAATTGTGATGTTCTTTTTTGTGTTAGTAGTTCGTGTTTGTTTTGGTTTACAACGTGTAAAAATGAATGCATATGTTTAGTTTATTATCATAAAAATGAGATTAATGATATAAATTTCCCGTGATGAATTGGTGTTGTCACGAAATGATTGATAATCGTTTTTGAAACAACTTTAGAAATACCTACGATAATAAATTTGAAATTTCCATGTTTATAGTAATTAATTTTCTATCGAAATATAACGCTCTCTCAAAGAAACTTTGTTTTGTAATCCCAATTTTGTTATCTAAACATTTTCCTGATAGTATTACTTGTTAAAATATTCCAGATATGCGTAGATATCGTAATCTTGTTGTGAACGTGTTAGTGTGGAATGTGTTTCATTAGTAGTTATCAGTGGAAATCATCTAAATTACAGTCTGCACTTGTAGTTCTTTACCATTGTTTTACGATTGCAAGAAGAATTCTAACAATTCATCTCATCTAATTCGTTTCTTTTTGTTGTGTTAACAAAAAATGGTACAAACGTATCATTCATTTATTTTTCAAATTACGAAATAGCGAGTTCGTAAAATAATTAGACATCTCGCCCATTGCAGATGATGTTTC